CTAACTTAATAATTATATTTGTTTTTCAACATTTACCGTGCCATTAATGTAAATCCTAAGATTTACCAACGGAATGGTGGTAAGAGTTCGAATCGCAAACCTTTTGGGACATTTACCATTAGGAATTGGTAGATCTTAGGTTTTACTGGAATATCTTAGGATTTACTGCAGTTCGAGCTTTTACGGTGACATATTCACAGAATTATTGAATTCGCAAGAGACTTTGGTAAAATGAACGAAATCAATGCGTTTAAAACAATATATTATGATATAAAACAATATATGATATTATAAGAAATAATGTCTTATTGTCTTTGTTATACAATCTATGTACCTAATTAATTAATTGAGTATTATTAAACATTTGTTTGTGTGTGATTGTGTGTTACCGTGTACACACACGGTACACTGAAATCTTCAACGAATCAATGGCGTTGATCTGTACATATATTGACTTTGGGAAATCAATACATTTATGAGAATATTTTTTATGTGCGGAAAAATATAGATATATTTAAAAATAAAAGTAGCTTCCATTAAGTATAGTACTCGTAATAAAAACAAAATTAGTGCACCAACCAGAAGGCTGCATAAAACGAGTATTTTTTTCCAAGTGTTGTCAATAAATAAATTTAAATCGTACATTAAAGTAAAACTCCTTGCTAAGGCCTATTACAATATAAATGAATATTTAAACGATCCTAGTGCTTGGATATGAATTGTTCCAGTATAAATAGGTAACGCGACTGAATCTCTCGGCTGCATTTCCAGACTCTGGGGCGATCGTCAACATCCACGACTGTTTTAATGTAAAGTGGGAACAAACCGTGATCCATGTGGTATCAAATTATTTCAGAATAAGTAGTATTATTATTATTATCTTATGTAGCCAATTTCACATTTCAAGGATCGTCATGCTCGCTTAAATGTCATTGCTTGTGGCGGCGTCCATGCGTCGGGTTGTCTCCCTAAAATATGGGTAGGGGGCCGATGGCTGGCCAATGGCCATGCGTCATACTCGTGAACGGGTGCTACTTGTGGTGACCGTCGTTCTTGAATTTGTGTTTGCGGTGATGTTAGTTATTTAGACTAAGTATGTGTTTGCGTGTGGTTCCTACGAGAATGTAAGTGCGTGCTCCTATTTCACCATGCCTCCTGCTGATAGAGGACAAGTCTGTGTTTTTAATTTATGTTATTATTATTAATTACTCAAGATGTCATGTGGAACATGGTGTATTGGTTGCAGCTCCTTACAAACGTTGTGTAAAAAAAAAACATGGCAATTAAAAAGAGTGACGGAGAGTTTATTGCAGTTCTTCTCTTCCGTTCTACGCCCTTGATTTGAGAACTGGCACTAAATGTAAAGTTAGAAGCATTTCATATACATTTATTTTTTTGACGTTCATATGTGTATTGTGTACATTGTAATACCTATATGATTAAATGATTTTTGACTGTATCAAATTAGAAACGCGACATCTTCGAAGTCGATAGAAGGGTATTGTCGTCTTGTTTCTTATTTCTGTCAATTTCTCTTCCAACACTCAAAATTATAACCCAAAATAAAACTCTTAAATCTCCGAAATATAAAAATTATATTTATTTTAATTTTAAATAATACCTTTTCTACTCCCCTGCCATTTGGTCCAGGGACTTTTTCTATATCTAAGCTTCACATCACACGTCTCGCGAAATACGCCCCGGATACATCTGTAATATTTTTGTTTACAATATTCATGGGCGAGCCGGGACGCAATTCCTCGCGAGACCCGTTCTTGGAGTTTTGTTTGCCGCCTTAATATATTTAACAATTTTATCGCAGAACCGTTCCAGGCAAGATCTGTGCTTTATTAACATGTCCTGTAGGTCGTTACGGTCTTCAGTCATCTGCATTTGTTGCTCCAGGTCGTGCCTGGACGATGCGAATATAGGGCAATGCAAGGAGCACATGTTCAACTGTTTGATCTTCATTACTACAGGCACATGTTGGGCTTGTCCTAATTTTGAACCTATGAAGGTAACGTGCAAAGGTTCCATGCCCTGTAAGAATTTGCGCCATCTGGGGTGTGAAACGCTTCTCTTTTATTAATTTGTACGCAGTTATAACATTTGCGATGAATAATTTTGTAGTTCCAGCTGTTTCACCCTCCAGGTAGCGTTCATTCCATACATCTAGAGTATTTTGCCTTATCTGATGTTTTACATATGACAGGGGGTATGCGGCGGACGGGAATCAATAAAATCTGTGAAGGCGATTTGTACTGCCCCATCAGAGTTAAATTTTTTCCCTTGCAAAAAGTTGTCCAAATTTCGAAAAAAATGGTAATCTGTTGGAGCAAGGTCCGGGGAGTACGGAGGATGTCTTAGACATTCCAATTGAAGCTCTTCTAATTTGGTAGCCGGCTGTTGTGCAGTGTGTGGTCTAGCGTTGTCGTGAAGTAGCAGTGGCGTGGAGCGATTGACCAGCCTAGGTTGTTTAGCCGCTAGCTTTTCCATCATGGTTTGCAATTGCTGACAATAGACATCAGCCGTAATAGTCTGGCCAGATTTGAGAAAATTGCAATGCAAACGCTTACAAGTAAATTTTTTGGGGTTAATTTTCGCTTGGGGCAGGATTTGGCTGGCTGGCCAGGATCCAACCATTGCGCTGAGCGCTTCCGATTATCGTAAAGAATCCATTTTTCATCACAGGTAATGATTCGGTTTAAAATACCTTCATTATTGTGCCGGTTCAGTAATGTAACGCAGCAGTCGACGCGCGTTTGCCGGTTTGCTTCAGTCAATTCGTGAGGTACCCATCTTTCAAGCTTTTAATCTTCCCAATTTGCTTTAAGTGAATTAAAACAGTTTTATCACTAACACCGCAGCCTGCAGCTAACTCGGACGTGGTTTGCGATGGATCCGCTTCCACAATAGCCTTCAATACTTCATTATCAACTTGGGTCTCAGGCCGTCCACGGGGCTTGTTCTGCAGGTCGAAATTTCCAGAACGAAAACGTTGGAACCAAAAACGAACTGTGTTTTCTTTTGCAACATGACCGCCATACACATCATTCACCCTTCGAGTCGTTTCCGCAGCACTAGTGCCACGGCGGAACTCGTACTCGTAAATAATGCGATACTTTAAGTTTTCCATTTCGTAAAATGAGTGAAGCAAACAGAAAAAAACAAAAGAATGACTGTCATCGAAGCACAAATACATGACTAAATAGCTGTACAAATTTGAATTTGGAATTCCTTACCAAAGAGGAGAACATCGTGATTAAAGTGGCCAGTAGGTACGAAATACGCCAATTTCATATGTAAGGACCTAATATTAGACGTAGTATGCCTTATTAATCTTACTTTATGAACTAGTTTAAATAAAATGACTGTCGAAGTTTTGCTAAAAACAAATGTGAAATGTCTCGATATGAATTCTTTAAAAAAAACGACTTCAAAAAGCACTCAGAAGTTTTATATAAAAATATCTATTCCTTGTATTCATTTGTAGAATACCAAGAATTAAATGTATTAAACGATAATTCATTTATTTATATACGGAACAAGGTATTAGGCACATTAAAAAAAAGTAGTACGTATGCTAAAGCTAAAACTATTTCATTCATCGATATATTATGTTAATAAAACAAACTAAAAGAACATATCGAAATGATTGCCTTCGGCTTTTTTGAAGTCGGTTAAATTAAAATTAAAATGAGGAACTCATTATTAAACGTCTATCAATTTGTAAACAAACTATAATCAATTGGCGTTTACGAATAAAAATATAATTGACCAGTCGCTGATAAAGTTAATTCCGTGTTATCATAGGTTTTGTTATATCCGAACCTAAACTAGGGTAATCGAGCAAACTGATTCCTAAATAGTGAGAGCGTTGCAGTATCTGTCCATTGGCGGTGTCAACTTACACTTAGGTACTGTTATAAATAAATGGTGTATTTTTTTTAAATAATAATACTCTACTTCCTATCCTACTACTATACTAATGCCAACGTGTCCAAGGACTTTTTCTATCTCTTACATTTTAACTAAAAAGATACATAAATTATTTACTCATTCGTGTTATGCATCTTGCAAAATACGCGTAACGTGTATTTTTTTAAAAGTTATAATTTTATATCATAAAATAACAAATGACATTATAAAATTAAGAGTTAGTACTTAACACAGGGTTGCCACAATCATTTGACATAAAATTATTATTATTTTATTTAATTAAGCCATCTGTCCTCGGACTCTGCTCAGCCAACTTGACATCTTTTATCAATTATTGTATAAACCCAAGGTCAACAAGGTCATATTTAATTATGCCAATTATTAAGTTCATTATTGGTACCATTGTAATTGCGATTGAGAGATTCAGGGAACGGGTACAGGCTAGTCGTCTGCTATTACCTGTGCGGTATTTTTACCGTGTGCATATAATATTGAATATTATTATAAATTTTCCAGGATAACAAGCAATAAATCAATACATAATGAACGGGACTTAAATCAGATTATTTTTGGCATTATTATCAGTGATTAATTTGTTATAACTTTAATCCAATATTTAGGGACGTAACTTTAATGGAACTCGGGGCAAAGACTTTCACTATCATTAATAATTTTAAGTAAAATTCACCTCCTTTAACAATTATTGTATCGCCAAAGATCGAACCCAGAATGTTCGATTAATACTATTCAATAACAATGATTAACAAATATCACTTGAATATTAATACATAAAAAAACTCAATTAAAAATACATAAAACAATTTAACTAGTATTATGATAATTTTTCAGTAAAACTTTTATTAAGTTCTATTACATACCACCCTTTGCTCACTGACCTTATCATAAGAAAACAACGCCGCGGTCATTGAATTGATAACTTTCCTGAGAGCAATTCCAGTACTCTCTGGGGTTTTACATTTTGCTTATTAATAAACCAACTTTTGCGATACCAAATGATTTAGCGTCAGTTTAGTGTTGAATTTAGTCCAGTCGAAACCACAATGAAATTGGCTAATTTTATTTTATTTTTGGGAACATTAGTATCGTGCCAGTGTTTTAGTGAAAGGCAAAATAATTTTACAACTGAATTTTTATACTTTACTCAAAGGGAAACCGCTGGTCACGCAGCGGTGTCTCCTTATGGTATTTGGAATATGTTGAGTCTCGTACAATTACTTACCGTGGGAAACACGAAAACCCAACTGCAGCGAGCGCTCTTTCTGCCAAAGAGTAGTATAGAGTAGATTTATGGTTTGAAAAACTTGAGCGACGTTGTTCTAGGATCAAACTCCGAAAAATCTACCGTATTTAGCCGAAATTATTTGGTTATAGATCAAAACGTTAGTTTAAATTATATGGATTTCGTAAAAGGAGCTAAAATGATTGGCATGAATATTATATCACTCGATCTAAATGAGCGAGACACGGCTGTAATGGTTGCAAATAGAATTATGTTTGATAAAGGACAGGAATTATCATTAGAACTACCAGAACTTATTAAAACAGATGAAATTCATCCCAGTGGGATAACGTTAGCGAATGTAAATAGATTGCAATATGTTTGGAGAAACAAATTCACGAGTGTCAAAGTTGAAAACTTTTATGATGAGAACGACCGCCATATCGGTAAAGTGAACATGATGTTTCAAAAGGTTACTGCAGCGTGTGCACAGATTACACCACTGAAATCACAAGTATTAGAATTGCCGTATGGAATCGACGGTAAATATGCCATGCTATTGATAAAGCCATGGCCAAAGACAAAGGTGAACGATGTCTTTCAAAAGATGATGACATTCACGTATGGACAAATACTAAATATATTAAATATACAGCCCCCTACAGTTGTTTACGTAAAACTACCAAGATTCGAAATAAACACAAATTACGCCCTAAACGTACCGCTTAACAAAATGGGTGTGTTTGATTTGTTTGAGAAGGAGTTTTCAAAGTTCTACGGCGTTCCCTGGAATAGTTTGTTTGTTCCGGCTATCGTACATCATGTGTCTATGGAGGTAAATGAAGTTGGTTTACGTAGAGATACGGTACAGCCGGCAAATAGGACGGTGATGTTCAACGCTACTAGGCCCTTTTTGTATTTTGTCATTGAAAAGACTACAGATACAATTGTTTTAGGTGGAGTCTATTCGAAGCCAACGGTTTACTAAATTTTAATTGTTAATAAAGTTATAAGACATTTGTTTATTTTTATTTTCCATTATCATAATGATATTAACATATCACAGGTCATGTTAGTAAAGCACAGACCGTGCCTGGAACGTTTCTGCAAAAAAATTGTTAAATATATAAAGGCGGCAAACATACAATTGCGCCCCGGCTCGCCCATGAATATTGTAAATATAAATATTACCGATGTAGCCAGGGCGTATTTCGCGAGACGCGTAACACAGCATTTGTGAAGTAACTACTTGTAATAACAACAAACAATAAACTTATTGTAATTTATATAATGTATCATGTTTTTTTTTGTAAAAATTTGAGAGATAGAAAAAGTCCCTGGACACAATGGCAGGGTAGTAGAGTATTAACAATAAAAAAAATTGAATCGATCTTTCTAAAAAACGTCTTTTACCACTTACTTCTGATCTCTATAAAAACAAAATGCATCTCTTGGTAGGCAACATTACGATTGAGGAACGCGGACACTAAGCATTTCAACGTGGTGTAAATAAATAAAGATACTATTACTCATTGATAATATAAATGACTTCTTCTAGTGCCGCAAAGTTTGGCTTAGGTAGTAAGCAGTATATTTTACAACGCTATGAGAAATTATGTGGTAGGCCTACGAGTTTGTATGTGGTAAATGCACACCCAAGAGGCCAAAATAGCATTCAATATTGTAAAAATCAAATGTATGTTATCATAAGGAAATTAAATATTAGCTAGCAAGGTTTGAGGTTTTTTGGTATGGATATAAAGCAAGAATTATAACTTTGAATTGAATTATGAAATTGCATATTATTTTATATGTTCCAGGATAATAAGCAGTAAATCAATAAAAATTATTGAACAGGACATAAATCAGTTTTTTTGCAATATAACTATTAATGCTTAATTTATTAGGAATAACTTTAATCGAATATTTAGGGATGTAACTTATTTTTTTCGTGGGGAAATGCGATACGCATACCTTTCCACGGCATGGTTGCCTGATGGTGAAGGGTTATGTGGCACTCGCTGCTATGCATACCCACTAAAACCCTATGATGCCACCAGCAATCTCCCGAGGCAAGACACGGTAACAGCGTAGCCTTGTTCGCATCCAGCCACGCGATCAGCCGTCAAACTCACGGTCCTCTACGGCCACAAACGATGTGGATTGGACCTTGGCACTGCAAGGGCCATTCACATCGGCCAATTCGCCCTGGTTTATAAAGCTGGGGGAGGCCGGGTACAATGCTTGCAGGGATGCGTCAGCATCCCTTCTTTGATACGCATTAGACGAACAGCGTAGCCTTGTTGTTTGATGGGCTGCGGGATCGACCTCCCCGGCCCTCTCCACCTCTTCTATATGACGCATGACGGCTACTAACTACTACTTTCACAATGTTAGCGAGAGTAGCGTCCTCGCCCTGTAGCACGCCCAGTAGAGGCCTTTCCCCCTCCCAAACTAGGCAATCCTTTAAAGTGTGGAGCGCGTCATCAACAACAATTATTGTATCGTCGTAAATAAAACCAGAATATCCGATTAATACTATTCAACTTATGACAATGATGAACAAATATCATTAAAATATTAATACACACAAAAACCTCAATTAGGAATATATAATAAAAACAATTTAACTAGTATAATGAGAACTTTTCAGTGAAACTTTTATTAAGTTCTTTTACATAACCACCCTTTGCTCACTGACCTTATTATAAGAAAACAACGTCGCGGTAATTAGATTGATAACTTTCCTGGGAGCAATCCCAGTATTCTCTGGGGTTTTCCATTTTGCTTATTAATAAACATCCTGTTGCGATACCAATTGATTTAGCGTCAGTTTAGTTTTGAATTTAGACCAGTCTAAACCACAATGAAATTGGCAAATTTTATTTTATTTTTGGCAACATTAGTGACTTGTCAGTGCTTTAGTGAAAGGGAAAATAATTTTACAACTGAATTTTTATATTTTACTCAAAGTGAAACCGCTGGTCACGCAGCGGTGTCTTCTTATGGTATTTGGAATATATTGAGTCTCGTGAAATTTCTTACCGCGGGAAACACGAAGATCCAACTGCAGCGAGCGCTCTTTCTGCCAAAGAGTTGTCTAGAGTTGATTTATGGCTTGAAAAACTTGAGCGACGTTATTCTAGGATCAAACACCGGAAATACTACCGTATTTAGCCGAAATTATATGGTAATAGACCAAAATGTAAGATTTAATTATATGGATTTCGAAGAGAAAGCTAAATTTATTGGCATGAATATTATATCACTCGATCTAAATGAGCGAGACACGGCTGTAATAGTTGCAAATAGAATTATGTTTGATGAAGGACAGGAATTATCATTAGATCTACCAGAACTTTTTAAAATAGATGAAATTCATCCCAATGGGATAACGTTAGCGAATATAAATAGATTGCAATATGTTTGGAGAAACAAATTCACGAGTGTCAAAGTTGAAAACTTTTATGATGAGAACAACCGCCAAATCGGTAAAGTGAATATGATGTTTCAAATAGTTAATGCAGCGTGTGCACAGATTACACCACTGAAATCACAAGTATTAGAATTGCCGTATGGAACCGACGGTAAATATGCCATGCTGTTGATAAAGCCATGGCCAAAGACAAAGGTGAACGATGTCTTTCAGAAGATGACGACATTCACGTATGGACAAATACTAAATATATTAAATATGCAGCCCCCTACAGTTGTTTACGTAAAACTACCAAAATTCAAAATAAACACAAATTACGCCCTAAATGTACCGCTTAACAAAATGGGTGTGTTTGATTTGTTTGAGAAGAAGTTTTCGGAGTTCTATGGTGTTCCTAGGAATAGTTTGTTTGTTCCGGCTATCGTACAACATGTGTCTATGGAGGTAAATGAAGTTGGTTTACATAGAGATATGGTACAACCGGGTAAGAGGACGGTGGCGTTCTACGCTTATAGGCCCTTTTTGTATTTTGTCATTGAAAAGACTACAGATACAATTGTTTTAAGCGGAGTCTATTCGAAGCCAACGGTTTACTAAATTTTAATTGTTAATAAAGTAATAACACATTTGTTTCTTTTTGTTTTCCATTATCAGTTTTTCTCAATTTACATGAAATAATATAAATCTAATTAGCGTTAATTGACAACATGAATCTCTTTTCAAATACTTGGTACCGAATTAATTGAATTAAATTGGGAAAATATGCAAAATTTGTTTTCCGCGTGTAAGTACTGATATCAGATTAATTAATAATTTTATAGCTTAATAATGAATATATAACATCGGTCCGTCTGAATTAAATCAACAAACATAATATCTCTACTAAAAGGTAAGATTAACAGCAGTGTTTGTCTAGTCCTAGTGGAAGATTTAAGCGTGCGCCTGGCGTTGTGGGTTCATATCTCGGTTGTGAATCAATTTTACTTTCAGCGCAATTAAATATTTAAATTACTTGCTCGCACAGTGAATATAAACATGGTGAGAAATGGGCTGTCCTTAAACTGTAACACGACGACATAATATTTTGTCAGGGACAAAAAGGCCGATCACCTACTCGTCTATAAAAAACAAAATGATGAAAGATACAGGTCACGCTATGTCTGCGGCACTGGAATAATATTATCATTGGATAGTTAGAAATTTTTGATAGTCAAGTAATTCAAATCAGAGATTATAAATCTCTCTTGTAAATCTTGTCTTGTTAACGATGTTGCTTTACGAATGTTATTTAAATACTTACTTAAAGTCAAACACCTAAATAAATCTATATGCTGAATTTTTGGAACGAAGTTCCTTATCGCGCGTTGTGAAAGGGGGCTAGACGGAAAAAATTCTTACGAAAAGTTGTCACGACACTTTTTTGCTGTTTGCTATTGTAATACACCGGTTCTCGTCCGATCACCGAAGTTAAGCAATGTCGAGCGAGGTCAGTACTTGGATGGGTGACCGCCTGAGAACACCTCGTGATGTTGGCTTTTTTTGTAGGGATAAGAAATGAAAATTATTTTTGGAATCACTTAACTAAATTAGTCTTGTTGGAACGAAGTCATCGAGCGTTGCGAAAGGGGGCTAGACGGAATAAATTAAGACCAAAAGTTGTAACGACACTTTTTGCTATAGTTGTTATATTTTACATTTTCGATTTAGCTATCGCCAACATCCATACCACGTTGAATAGTACACCGGTTCTCGTCCGATCACCGAAGTTAAGCAACGTCGGGCGAGGTCAGTACTTGGATGGGTGACCGCCTGGGAACACCTCGTGATGTTGGCTTTTTATTTCGTCGTAAGATTGGTGTCAAGAAAATATATCATACTGTTATGATACGAATTAACATATAAATTAATCGAAAGGAATTTCGTTCCATCCGGGTGTCCCTTGACACCTCTAAAGTTTTTTATTAAATCTAAACTTTTAGTACTAAAAATACTTTGCTAATAAGGTATTCAAGAAAAGTGCCATCTTGTATTTATTTTTGTAACTAGTATAACTGTATTTCGAGTGCGACGTAGTTGTAAAGAAAGGTTGTACAAGTTTTATAAGGAATTGAAACTATTATTGTGTAGAACAGCGCCACCTAGTAATTCTACTTGAATCTAATTACAATTGAATATTTGGATTGAGCAAACAGCGTAGTTTAATAGAAGTCGTATAGATGGCAGTATTGTAAAAACTTTTTACTAGAAATATAATAATGTTTATTTTTGGGTCGTACAGGGAGTGGATTTTATTATTTACGCATTTCAACCCTCGTATTGATTACTCTTAAATAATATTTTTAATATAAATGTCGCATTTTTAAACACGCAAAAACCGCCACCTTAAATCTAAACACACCTAGCGGAACTAATTAATTAAACAATCCAAAAAAGGCATTCAAAACTTTATTAACAAAGTATCACAGAATCTATACACTTACAATTTGAATCGATCTTTCTAAAAAACTTCATTAACCACTCAAAAGACTTTTACCACTTACTTCCGATCTCTA